AAATAAATGATTGCTTCTAAGAAAAGCTCATTGAGTTAAAAAATTGCCAATCAAAACCAAATTAATTAAAATTCGTCCAATCTGCCGGACAAAAATAAATAGTCCGTTTTTAAAAAAAAATCTCCAAAACGGCAACTCTGATTGAAGCGTGACAACGGAACAGAACATGTGCGCCATCCATTTTAGGTGAGTTTTTTTTAAATAATAACGTTGACAATACATACTTTGAAAAAATGCTTTAATAAGGCGCGTAAAAATTTAAAAAAGTTGTATTGCTTATGTGGTATTTTATGTACATACATATATTGGAAAATGATATTTGATTATTTAGAAATAAGAAAGAAATCGGTATATTTTGCGTCAGATGGAATGGATTTCAAAGTTTTCCAAAAACACAAAATATAAAAATTTTTAAAATTTTTATTCAATTTGGATAAAACATAATAAGCACGTAATATCAAAAATTTTAGTTTTGATTCAACTCAATTTATTGTATTTTAAACAAAATTTAAATTGAATATTAGAAATTTGTGGCTGGGAATTCAATAAAATCATATAAGTACATAAATTGAATGCATCTAAAATATAAAAAAAAAAATTAAATAGAAACAGAATGAAATATAAGAAATCTGTATGGATATAAACTTTTCAAAGAAGAGAAATAACCTGAAGAATGTTTCAGACAGACTTAAGAGCTTTGAGTACACCAATGTAATAATTAAAATGGAAAAATGAATGCAGACTACCATTTATCATAATAGAAAAGGCTGAAGCTATCATCTCTTTTGGAACAATTTACATTCATATATTTAATGAATTTGTGAGGTTCGTATTTTTCCACAGGAATAAGGTATGTATTGAAAAGTAGCATACAAAGTGAACTCGAAAATAGGTGTTTAGTCAAAACTTGTGTCGCATATCTGGGCTGGAAGAATAACGAGTACTTTTTAGTACCTCATTAAAAAACAAAAATCAATATGATGTTAGATAATGAGAAAAAAAATGAGATAGGTTTTGAACTGAGTAGATGTGCTAAATACTTCTAATTGTACTCATAAAACATTTCATTGTATTCTTGATTCAGTTTCCTTTTTATTCCGTTACATCACATTTTAAAATATACAAGGTTTCAGTTTACTTATTGTCATATCCACAAATTACTTTAACAAAATAGCTAGTATCCTTTTAATTTTTTTAGCTAAATCATATTACGAAAAGTTTCTCTTCAATTTGTTTTTCGTTATTCAAAAATATTTTTTGAAATTCCTTTAAAAACGAAAAATTCATAATATGAACTTATTTGCTTTAATTTAATATGCAATGGTTGTATTTTAAATCATCAAAAGAAAAAATATTTTTTTTAAAATGCATTTGCAATAAAAAGACGCTAGAAAATTTCATATTCAAACTGCACTTTAAAAAGAAGGAGGAGAGCGAGGGTTTCCTTTAAAAATTGTTAACTGTTACCTACTATGTTTATATGTATATGGAACATATGCAAACGTAAATTTTCAATAATATAAAAAAATTGAATCATAATATTATATACCTACATATTGTGCAGATTTAAAAATTTTATATTTTTGAGTTTATTTTTAAAGAAAACTTAAAATATCAAAAAAATAAACTTGATTTTTAACTGGACATGGAATTTGTACACAATGGAATGAATAGATTTTCAAAGTTTTAATCAAAACGTATTTTTGTATATGTTGGTAAAATTTAACATTAATCATGGGTATTGGAAATTTGCATAATTTGAGCATAATTGTATGTACGATTGCACGATAGAGAATACAATTTTCCTTAACAAAATTGATTGCATTCAAAGTTTAAGTTATTGTATTTTTAGAAATTTATACAAAAATAACTTAAAGTGTTAAAATAATAAAAAAATCTGCATTTTTAAAATGATTTAAGAAGAATATTACAACACCTTTTGTAATACTCTGAAATTGTTACAACATGTGGGTTAGAAAAAACTTAAAATTGAATTTAAAATCTCTATGAACTTTTTAAATTTTAAAAAAAAAATTTTCCTTTTTTTCTGTTAAAAATATTTTTATTTTTCTCTTATTTAAGCGATAATTTTATAAAATTTAAGAGTGGTTATCCTTTGAAATGGGGAAAGTTATGAGATTTTAGAAAGAGCACAGTTAACGAAGCTTATAATAGAGCACATTCATATATATGTATAAAGTAGACAATAGCCCTTACTCTTACCTAAATCAAATTTCTCAAAAATGCTGTACGATTTTTCCCCTGTGAACTTAAACGAAAATTATAAAGAAAAATATCCAAGCCCACATAATAATATTTTGAATTCAAAACAAATTAATTTTTATACCTGAAATAAAGCATAAAGCACCTACATCATTTTATTGTCCATGTTTTTGTTTTTTTGTTGGATCATATATGATTTGTGACAAGTTAATTTTTTACACCTAAACAAAATCAGAAAGGTTATACTAATTTTCTAACTATTGAGAATATTTAATAGATTTTTTTTTAATTTTAAATTATGTAATTTTGTATATTTTTATTATAATTTTAAATTTTAATAATGGGATTGAAACGGATAATATTTAATTTGTTTCTCAACTATCTTTTCAAAATTCACAACTACATTATGTATGTACAACCATTTTTTATCCAAAAGGAAGCAAAACTTTACTTTTTATTTAAAAGTTCAAGAGAATGCCTGCAACTTATAACTAATTAAATATAATAATAATTATTAATTTTATAATAACTAAATTATTAAAATAATTAATTACTTATTACAATAAAACTCAATAAGTAAGTAATCATCACAGTAATTGACAAGTAATTAGAGTAGAATTTGGCTTTTGGCATATGTAATTTTGTCTCATTCGCTCTCGGGTTCATGTAACACAAAACTTTTATTTTAAAATTTAATTTCATTTATATTTTACCATTATTTTTATTAAATATTTTATTTTTAGCCATTTTTCTTAAAAAATGTAAGAGTTTTACATTTAATTAAATGAAGAAAATAAATGCATTTCATAATATTAAACGTAAGTGAAGCATTTAAAATTCCATTCAAGAAAAATTTTAAAATATTTCAATTTACTTAAAAGAGAACACAAACAAAAAAATTTTCATAATTTTGATTCTCTTCTTATAGATACCATTACCATCAATATGTCAATTTACCTTCAAAATTACCTTTACAGTTTTTTTTTCGCTATAATTATGCTATGGATTGAAAATTGTTTCTATCTACTTTGACAATTTTTATTATTATGTCAAACGTAAAAACTTTAAATTTCTTTTTTTTTTTTTTCAATTTATTTTTTATAATTCTCCTACACGTTTCTTTTTCATATTTCGTATTTGAAATGGCTTCTTAAGAAAATGAAAATTAATTTTCATTTCAACATTCATAATAATTTGTAATAGAATAGAAAATTTGAATAAATATATGTTAAAACAGGTCAAATTTAGTAATTGAGGCAACAATAGGATATACTGAAATAATTTGATCGAAATAAAGAAAAATTTTCGTAAAACAGCGGAACATGTATATGATACTCGGACACTGAAACAAATCGATAAAAAAGAATAGATAAAGCATTTAAACAATTGACGTAAATTCTTATTTTACAATCATCTATATTTGATATCAAGAGTCGATAAAAAAAGAATAAGATGTTTCGAGTTTTTGAAATTTTGCGTGTATTTTAATGTCATGTTTGTTCATTATGTGCTCATACCTCAATTTATTCATTTAACTCCAAAGACACAACAACTGCGGTTGAACTTTTGCTTTTTATGTAACTCAAAGTGCATAATTTGAAAATGCTTTCGCACACAACGATAGTCAAATTATTACAAAAATTTTCCTTTTATCCATATATAATTTAAATTAAATTGATTTAAAACCAAACACTTTATATTTTTAAAGATTCTTAAGATAAAATCCTTTCAGAATTCTTATATTTATTTAACTTAGAACTCCTTTAAAGTTCTCATACAATTTCCTAAATAGCCTCAATAATAACGTTTTGGCACCAATCAAAATATAAAAACAAAACAGAAATTGCATATTTCAAGACCATTTTTTTTATTGTTTCTATTTTCTATACAATTTTTTTTTTCTTTTATAACCATAAATGACCCCAAATAACATTACCCATAGTAACTGTTAACCTAGTAAAATATGATACCAACTTTTATTGTCTTTAAAAGAAAATGTCCAATTCTAGTAAAATTACATGTATACATGTATTAAGGATATTTGACACACAAAATGGTTTATAAAATAATACACGTATAAAGTACGTGTCCTTAAAGCTATATGATTTTCCTAATATTATTTTAGGTTGTTTTATGTTGTTTTCGTCCTTTCTCTATGTATATTTTTGTGTGCCTAAATAAAGGGTGATTTTTAAGGTTTATTATTTTAAAATACTTTGAAGCTGATTCTGTTACTATTGTCAATTTGAATCGAGTCAGTTTGGTATGAATTTTTATCATGGGAAGACAGACTGCCGCTTTAACAATGCTTTTAATGCGTTGACCGAATAATTCATTTCACGCTTTCGAGTTTTCAAATTGTTCGAATACGTGAAATATCTTGTTTGTATGGATTGGCTGCTATCAATTTTATTCGTCATTTGGACAAAACAATGTTGAACTTGTAATTTATAATATTCTGACGGGAAAATGTAGAACAGACCACCTAAAATGGAATTTGTTTTGCCAACATTTACAGAAAATTAAATTTTAAATGTAAGCTATACGCTAATTGATTTTGGCAAAAAAATTTGCAATTTTCCCCTCCTTTTTTATAAATTTAAAACTCAAATGCTTAAAACATCACCCTATACTATAATTTATTTTGCTCCAGAAAACCAGAAATATTTTTTTGTTTCTTTAAGTTTTGTTTCTTTTCTTTTTTTTTACAAATATCCTATGACAAATAATCCAAAAAGGTAAAATTTGATTTTTTTCTTTCTTTATTTCAATTTTAGGACTCAAGTCTTCAGGACTAATGCAATTTCAATATACATACACTTGAATAAAAAATCAAACACATAGAGAAGGAAAAAAGAACTTATATTCGAAGTTGAAAACAAAAGGGAAAACAATAAAATAAATCAGAAAATAAAAACGAAAATTAAAAAGGAATAGGAGAAATATAATGTAAAATCGAAGAACCAGAAAAAATAAGAGAAAATACTAGAAAATGTTAAATTTCGTTATGAATTTCTATCTATCAATAGCAGAAATTTATGCTAAAAAATTAAGATCTAAAAAAAGGACATCGTTATAAATAAAAAAATTTTTACATAAAATCGAAAAATATTTGTACATATATATATATATACAGGAAGCACAAAATAGAAATGGAATTTTGTACATAAAACATAAATGAATTCATCTCTCATCATGGGAAGCAAACAATAAAACAAATATATAAAAATAATAACAACAACAAAAGCAAATCAAAGAAAAAATATTTTTTTAACTTTCATACATACTTATAGGGGCAATCAAAATTCATTTGAAAAAAAAAGGATGTTAATAAATTGCAGTAAAAATAAGGACATCAAAAAATCTAATAGAAAATAATAAATCAAAGTAAAACAGAACCAATACACACACATATATATAAAAAAGGATAACATACAAAAAAAAACAAGCCTATATTAAAACAAAAACAACAAGGGAAAAAAGGCTAAAATATTTACCAAACAATTATAATCATATTACAAATCAAATTCGGTATATATACGAAGTTGTAGCTGTAAGAAGTAGGAGTAGTACGAATAGGATACGCATCTATAAATTTTTTATATATAAAAAAAAATATTTAAACATATAGCAATGGATGGAATAAATCGTAGAAGAAGACAATCTGGTGATCCATGTAATTGTCTTAGGCCAGCAATTAGAATATGGGGTTTAATAACGGCTGTTGGTAAGTTAAAAATTTTTTTATTAATATTTTATTCTAAAATTTATATATATATGTTCACATGTACTTAATAATTTTAGTAAATATAAAAATTTTATTTTAATAAAAAAAATTTGATTGGAATTATATTGGCGCCTATGGCTGCCTCAAACAAAATTTGATCAATTAGGATAAAAATAAGTTTTTTGAAAAATCAATTAAAATTTAAAAGTATCCATTTAATAAAGAGGTAGTTAATAGATTGGGGACGGAAGTTACCATTAGAATTTTTGTTATTCTAAGAATATCGGATGTTCGATTTTTCTACTATTGGACAAGACTTTAGGTCCGAAGACGGTTTAAGCATTGCCGTGAAGTGTTTTGCTGACACAAATCAGAAAGTATCTCAGTATTGCAGTTTGTATTCTGACATGACACAGTTGTCTGCCAGATAAAATTGCTAAAAGATTGGAAATTCTTTCGTCGAAGATTTTCGGGTTATTTACATGACAGTCGACACTATGACACATGTCAAATCCTCCCTTCTCTTGTTAACTAACTAGTTAACTTAATCAATTTTTATTAAAAATATTTAATTCCATTCTTATGTCACAAAAGCAATACTACATGTTTATAATTTAATTACAACTTTCTTCTTATTTTGTATAACAAATACTCAAATAAATATAGGCATATACGTACTATGATGAAAATTTACAATAAATGTACATATATAAGTATATTCGAAAGAGACCAGTCATTGATTTTAAGACATAAAAATTACTTGTTTCATTAGAAACTTAGTCCTTTTTAATTAATAAGTATGTAAGCCCACACATTTAATTTATTTTTAATTGACCATATAATAATGAATACACTAATTTAATTTAAGCTTAAAGTCCTTTTCTTATTTTTAAGGACATGTTCAATTTATAATGTGTGTAAATAATCTATTTTGTATGCTATTATAAATTTTTACATGTATAGGTACGTGTAAATGGGTGTTTATTTATTTTATGTGGGTGTATGGATGTGTTTAATAGCTGACTATTAAATATTGAATAAAATAAATATAAAAATTCCATTTTATCATTTTGGGTAATTAATTTTTCATTTAAGATATACAAGCATTTTTTGTTCTTCGCTGTATGTTTATGAAAAATCCTTTTTTTTTTTTGTGTGTTTTTTGATAAGTGGGAAGTAATCCTTGTTAAGAATTTACAATGTTACTTATACTGTTATACATAGTAAAGGTTATATACATGAAATTTTAGCATTTCGATAGTATCGGACAACATTTTCTTATTATCTTAAGATTGATTTATTATATAAAATTTTTGAAAAATATATTTATTATATTATATGTATAATAAATGTTATAACATGGATATCATATGATACTCTTATATGTATATTATTATGGTTTATATAATTTCATACTCTCATATGTACATATATGAATGTGGGTATATATAATTAATTTTCCATACCAATTTTCTGATAAACTTCTAAATACCCAAGATATTTATGTATAAGAAAAATGATAAAAGTCAACATAAAACAGGGGAAGAAGTCAAATATTCCCATTATTTATACATTATACTTTTGATATATTGAAAAACATACGCAGAATTTCTTTTAAATTTATAAATGTGTAGGTATTCAACCTTTCTTAACAAGAAAAAGATATATATTTTGTATTTCATACGCTTAGGTGTATTTTCTTATATTTTAAACTCAGTAGGTCAGTAATATTATTTTGATGGCTTAAAATACACACATATAATTAAAAATGGGAATATAGCATTCTATATATTTATATACACGCAATGTAATAAATAATAAATTTACTTAAGAATTTCATATTAATATGTATGTAACTACAAAAATTCTACGAATACTATTTTATCGAAGATAAAAATATTATACAGCTATTTTTTTATACCATTAATTGAGAATTCCATGAATTTGCAGTTTTATAATAGAACAAATGGTTAAAGGTTAAAATAATATACTTAGAATTAGATTAGTAAATTAGAAAAATAAATAATATGTGGATCAGAATGAATGTTACAAAGAAAAATATTATATTTAAAAAAAAACGCGGCTTTTTACACCAAAAAAATTACTTTTATAATTAGAGGTTTTTGTTATTCCTACAGTATAGGTTCAAATTTACAATTTATGTTGTAAGCTCTGAAGTTTTGTAATTATCTACAATAACACATAAAATATTATCTGAAAATAACGCATGAAACCTGTACTTGATCCTATAAGTCAGGGAATAACTTTATACTACCAATTTTAACAATAGTTTTAAATATATATTATTACTTTCGAAAATCTGACCGTGATCCCTTCATATATTTTTAGCGTACATTATGTACATATATACCAATTCCTTATATTATGTAAATTCAAATAAATAAATCACACAGTAGAATAGATAACATTATTTGATAATAACTGGAACTAAATTTTATATTGAATCTGTATTTTATGTAGCAAAAAATTTACTTGATATGATTTTTTTTCTTTTATATTATTTTTGATATTTAATGTGCATTTACAAATTCAATTTTCGATTTATAATGTTTTAAAAATAAATATTAATTTTAATTTTAGATGCTCTTACACAAATTTGAATTAACAAATGGGAAATCAAGGGTTCCTGTAATTTGAACAATACTTAATATGTATGAATCGGGTTAGTGGATCGTATATTCATAAATTACTGCTTAGGGAAAGAAACAGTACTTCACATTGTGTAAAACTATGAGATATAAAACTACACGTTCATATTTAAAACTACATATTCTATACGACTATGAGTACACTTGCGAGCATGAGATTTTAGATATGTATGGCTTCAATAGATCAACTGTTTCCTGCACGGTTTAAATCTGGATGAATATTCTTTCAGGTGGGATAGCACAATTAAACTTAATGGCTGCAATAATATAGTCAATCAAGTGGATTAAACTAATGTATATCTCTTTTTATCTTTCGCAAAGTCAGGCTTTTTCTTTAAAATATGTATTAAGTATGTTCTTAATTTTAACTTTCAAGGTATTCCAATTAGCATTAAAAATTCCACTCCAACAAACTTAGCAATTTTATATTTTTATTATTTCAGATATGCCATATAAGTTACCAATTTAGGTACCCTAAAATCAACAAAAACAACTTTATCCATTTGTGGTTTTTTTCATTTTATTATTCCGAGGTTACAATCTCTACTATAATATAAACATGTTAACGAACTCTACAAATTACAAGGCTATAAAATTATTTTATTTTCTGTTATGCACCTATTCTAAATATACACATATAATATGTGTAACACATCTTGTATGTCGATAGCTAGATTCATATTGTAATAAGTATGTATGTATACACATGGGCATATTAAAAAATACAAAATAACAAAATTTATATCAAGATTTTGTGCTTCATACAATATGTATGTTACAAAATATTTGTAGATCCTTTTCTTTTCCTCTCTTTTATTATGGAATTTCCCATAATTTCATCATTCAAGTCTAGCGGTTTTTATATTGTATATAACTGATGATAGCCTAGAAATGAGCATTAATACACAAAATATATAAGAAAGTAACAAAAAACAAAAAAAAATTCTATAAACTCTTACTCCGATTCTACTTTCATTTGTATTTTTTTTTGGTTTTTTCTCTTATTTTCCATTTTATTTATTTTGTTATATTTTGTAAGTTTTAACTTGTCAACGGTAAATTTATTTTATATCCTTTTCTCTTATATATTTATTATTATTATCCTTGCTTTTATTCAAATATTTTATGTATTTTTATACACGTATGTATAAAGTTATCAATATCAAATGCAAATGATGTAGAAAAAAATTGATAATTGAGATGAAAAATTTAAAATGCATTTCAGGATTTTTTTTTTTTTATTGACGTTGAAGGAAATGTGATAGAGATAAGATGAAATTCTTTAAAATTTTAACAAAAGAATGAAAAGCAGAAAGGAATATTTCTGGTTTTTTTTTTGGAAGGCTATTTGAAAAAGAAATGATTTTAGATAAAAAAATTGATGTTTTGAGCATGTAGACGACTGCATCGAATATTTTCTGAAGTTTAAAATTCGCTCAAAGTTGACTAATTTATCAAATTCACAATATTCTACTCAGCTATTCAATTTACTTGAAGCTATTCAATTTAATATGGAGTACTCGGATTGAGATCCTGACAAATTGAGTGGACAACAGACGGATAGATTAAAGTACTGGAAGCCAAAAGACTAACTGACAGATAATCCGAATTGTTTCGCCAATCCGTGTATCGACTAACTAACAGAAAGGCAGAAATTTTTGTTGAACATAGCTATGTTTTTATTAAAAATTCGACTATAAAACTTGATTTGGCCATAAATGTGTTCCACAATATCCGCATACCGTACATTGGCTAGAATAATAATCAAAATCGAAAATATACATTTTTACTTTTAAAATTTGAAGTTGACTGAAATCTATCCCAAAACATATCAGAAGTTGTTAAACGTTTATATCGCTATCCTATAAGAACATGAACAATTTTTCAGTATTATTTTGTTGAAAAAGAGTTTTTCTACTAGAGCAAGTTTGTAACTTTAATATTTTGCTTACGTATGTCAGTGCTCTCGTAATTGTATGATATATAGGATTGGCAACGCTTCGTTTTTTAATTTTGAATCTTAGACCTATAAAATTTTAAGTTTTCGATCATTTATAATTTTGCAAAGTAGTCAAAAATTAAAAAATGATAACATGCAAAATAATAAGGCATAGAAATCGAAATTTAATTAAATGTTCTATGCAAAGTTTTTATGTAAAATTCTCAAAGCATTTATTTATTCACTGCAGTTATTTTTCTCATCCATTTCTTATAAAATTTTTTAATAGGATACTAAAATCATTAAAAACTAAAAACAAAAAAATTGAATTTACTCCGATCCATTTAAATTCAATTACTTACTGTATACATACCCTTTCTGCATATTTTTCTTAACTAATTTCTTATTTTACCTTCCATATTGCAGAATATTCTGAATTCCATTAATTCCCAAGGATAATGATGAAAAACTATTAAAAAAAAGAAGAAAAAAAATTACAATATTGCAAAATTTGCCACACTTTGTTTTTAGTTTTATGCTTATTTTTGTTGCAAAAATTTCATTGTAAATCTTAGAAAGTATTTTTTATTTTTTAATTTTTTGTGAATAACCGCCAAACTTAATCTTGATAATTTTAGAAACTCACATCGAATATTAAAAAAGAGAAGACATCAATGTCAATTTTGCTTGTTTTTTTTTTTTACATTAGTGCACAAGGATGAGTTTACAGAGCAAATTGGTAAAGGTATCTATGGTATATGTATGGTAGAGGCACTTATGGTAAGTGTATGAGATATTTGTCTCTTGAAATCAAAATTCTCTTACAAGAAAATACGAAATTGTTCTAATTAATTTCACTTCGTTCGAAGATCACAGCAAATATTTTCCCATAATATTTAATAATTTTAGTTTCTTAGTGAACTCAGATCCAATGAACAACATTTATTATTAATTTTTAACAACATTAAATTCAATTTTTCAATGTTTAAAAATTTTTGTTTACAATGTTATCAGTTTTTTGCATATAAAATTAAATTTAGATCAGCCTAGCTAGCTACCTATGGTACATGTATTTTTTTTTATTTTTTCTTATAAATTATTTCTTATAATTCAATTCCATAGCATCTTTTAAAATATTTTTATTCCATTACATGGGATCAAGAAAATTTAAGGATAATTTTTATTTTTTTATTTTTTTAATAAAATTTAATTAAAATTTAAAAAGAAACTTTTTTTTTTAAACGACTCTTGTCAATATTTAATTATAAGAAGAAGAAGAAGTAGGAGCATAAAAAAAGCTGAAAGAACAGCTAAAAAAAATTGTTATCTTTCATTCTTAGAGTAACTTTTAATGGAGTTCTAATTTTATAAGACTGAATACATATTATAAAGAACCACATCGCATAATATACAAAAGATATATATTGAAATTTTTGTAAAATAAAAGAAGAGAAGAAAAGTTTTTATTATATAATATAAAAATGGCGGTTATATATGTATAATTTTAACTTTCTGTTACAGTAAATCCGAATACAAAAAGCTGAAATAAGAAAAAAAATAAATTTAGATCAAATAAGTGGCTTGTAAGTTAGCACGTTTCCATTGAATAAGCGAAAACACTCTTCTTAAAAAAAACTCTCCAATTTAAAGTTTGTATTCTCATTAATATATAAATTCAAAAATTAGATTATGCAACAAGCGATTAAATATTGCATTCCTTCAGGATGAGATCAAAAATTTAAAGAAGCGTTGACATAATGGTTCAATTCGACGGCTAGTTTGAATGAGCTTAGATATATAATTATGTCTTCTAAAGGCAAGACATTCGCGGTTAATTTGTTTTTGTTTTTGGAAGAATTTGGAAAAGAGTACGGTTTCGAGAACATAACGAACGGAAAATTGAAATTTTGGTGTATGAAACGAAAAGGGTGCTTTCACCGGAATAAAATATGTACTTTTATTCCGACGAAAAGGGAGTTTTTCTTTCATACACCTAAACAAAAATTTTATATTTCGGAAAAATATCAAGATTTTCAATGAAAAATTTTATTAAATTGTGACTTTGCTTTATTTGAAAGGCGAAAGGACGTGGGAAAAAATTCTGCTTCTCCATTGGCTAAATCTTAGATAATGTTAGAATTTTGGAGAAAATATGTTTGGGATCAACAGTCATTTTCTGATAGTATTATTTGTTTATTCAGTTTCGTACTAGAAAGAGGAAGACGTCGTGCCAGAATTTAAAAAATGGTTGTAGTTTCGATGCAATAATTTGAATTTTCATTTATACCTTTAAGAGGAATAAGTTTCTGGCAAAAGTTTATTTGTATATAAAATCTTAGCTTTCTATTTAACGACAATTTGACTGACAGCTTGGTATTAATAAGTAAATATTTTTTTTTAACTTTATTGGAAATCTACTGTAAATATTTCTAAAACTAAAATAATAATATTATTTATTAGGAGGCAAAAAAAGTTCATTTGGGACGTGTAACATCTAAAATTTTATGATTTTAGTTTTTATACACAGAAAATTCTCTTGTTTTTTCGCTTTTATATACACGAAAAACTAAAAGTAAATTTTATTTTTATGGAATTAAAAAATTTTAAGAATGAATATTCTCATGAGAAACATAAGTTTTCGATTTTATTTTTCATTTTTCTTGTTTTTTTTTGTTTTTCAATTATTTTGGTTATAAGATGCATGGTAGAGAAATAGTAATAACATTAAAAAAATTTTTATTATTAAAGATATTTTCTAAATAACATTGTGAATATGAACCAAAGAAAAAATAATAAAAATTATAATTTGAAAGAAGGAAATTTCAAAAAAAAATTTTTAAAATTAAATTAATTTTTAGGTTTAAGTAATTTCTCATACAACAAATACAGAAGTGAAGAAATATTAATAGTATGTCCAGTTTTGAAGTAATTACAAAATGTATTTCAAAGTAATTATAAAAAAAATATCTTATCTCACCAATAATACATTAGAAAGCAAGACAAATTCTAAACAGCAAAGTTTTCGAAAATGCTTCTACAAAGGTGTAATGAAGAAGAATTGTCAGGAAGATTTGGGCATTTCCTAGAACGTCATTGTTATGTTATCATGACAATTTGTAAAGCTCACCAACTCTTAATACTTTTTGACCCTAACGTCATGAATTTCAGTTTTTTGCTAACTTTGGTGATTGTCAAAAAAAAAAAAAGAGATTTTTATTGACATACATACAAAATTAATTTATGAAGCACTACAAAAAGTATATACATGAAACTTCAAATTATACAACACAA